AAAGAAATAAAGAACAAATACCTTGTTGTATTACATTAAGTCTTGTAGAACTGAATCTGTAACTTGATTCTCCCTGCAGGAATATCCTCGCATTGTACTGGTTGGTGTCATTAATGTTCAGGTTTGTTATCTTGAACCAAGCCTGACCCTTTGTCAGATCACCAACAAAACTGACTCTTCCTGCGTAACTTGTTGAATTGATCTTGGTGTCTGGAAATGCACTACCAGGGTTAAATACGCGGTAAAGTCTTGGATTCAGGTCATTTGAGTCACCATCTCGTACTCCCCAAGTGGCTTCTGACATTGCTGTACTATTAATCATGAACACCACATCTTGTCCCACTTCTCTCGTCAGTGGTCCAGGACTGGGTATAAGTACTAGACATATAGTAAAAAATGGATCACGATGGTGAATACTGACTGGCTGTAACTAACGGTTGCATCGATGGAAAAATAACTTGCTATTAAATATAAATAGATTCTAATCTATGATTATATTATGGGTATTATGGGACATAAATAGAAATATCTTTGTCRGGTTGATTCACCTGTAACGAACAATTCTACTTTTGAAGATATGTACAATCCAGAGGTCAATGTAAGACCGCACTCATATATCCCGCTATCGGTAATGGTGACGCTCGAGATGACCAGAGTAGCCGTTGATTCCTTACGGAGTCGGCCTTTCAGCCTATCAGGACATGTTGGTAAAATAGACCATTTCCATTTAGGGGAACTCCACTTATACTCATTAGCAATCTGTATTTGCGTCACATTTATGTAGTACCAAGTGGGTGAGTAACTACCAAATTCGGCGTCCCTGTTGCTAACATTGTAGTCCCACATCATCCTAGCGTCTTGACCACTCACCACATACAGCACACTAGGTGGCACCTTAGTAAATGGTGATTGCATTCCTCCTGGTGTTTTGTTAATAGTATAGGACGGTAATTAGCTATGTAGCATCGCAGTTTTAAGAAACCAAAAAACTAAGAACGAACTAGCTAAACAAAGGTATAGCTGAGAAAGTACGAATGGGTTACCAATTCCCCAAACGATCGACTTCTGTTATTTTGTACTGGCATTAAACAGTCAATTCCTTAAAAGGTTAGTTGATCATTCGCGTTTGATTTAACGTACCAAAAACTTAAGCACAGAAACATAAACAGCCGGCAATAGTTAGGAGTTAACAGTACACCAGAACTTGAATATGTCAAATACGATATATTCTAGTTACAATTATCACCTACTCGTGTTCCTCTGTCGTGCAACTTCTTGTTTTTTTGCATGTACGGTATTGATATTAAACATAAGGCACCGCACTTCTCAATCTTCTCAGTCGTCTTGTTCTTGGTGCAGGACACAAAAATAGTATATGCCTTGTATATATTGACTTCGACTAATATGGTAGCTTAAGATACGTCTTTTTTAATATTATGCTTCGATTTTATTTCTTTTATATCAATTGGGCTTCCTGTGGATAAAATATTATTATACAGCAAACAAAACAAATGATGAAGCGCGACCAGCACCGATGCACCTTTAATAGAATATTTCATGATCGGTGGTTTTAGTTAGTAAGATCAGATCGAAATACAACCTATGCCATTAATTAGATGAATGCAATAATATTATCAAATATTTATCTTCTATAATCTACGAATTCCTACTGAAACTAATCATAATGTAAACTGCACTCAATAATCAATATATCTTCAACTTACCAACAGGCGGAAGTAACTGTAGAATCACTGCAGMTAGACAGCTCAATAAAATGACATACATTTTCTGTGCTTGCAATTATTTATATGAATATTAACTTTTGAAAACCTCTGGAATATCAATTAGGCGATACGTGAACCGTTTTGCACTGATCGATAAGTAAATCTATTCACGCTCGTCTGCTYTTGGCTGCTGTGTGTTTGATGTTCAGTGGAGTGACCTTTTCTAGAGGTTAATGTCATAAACTGCAGCACGTCACGCAAGTAAGTATTTACAACAGTTTTAACACAGCACACCTTGCCTGAAACAAAAGGATTGCAAACACGGAGGAGAACCTTGATAACCTTGAGATCCTTGAACCTTGAAGACGAAGAATGATGATGCACCTGAAATAGAAGGTTGGCACATCTAAGACAGAAAAATGACACACCTGAGTCATAATGATGTGATAGAAGAATGGCAAACCCGAAAGAGAAGAATGACAGAGCTGAGGGATAAGGATGACACACCTGAATTAGAAGGAGCGCACACCTGAGGTTAATTATTAATAAGAAATAAGAAAACAAAAATACTATGTATATTGTATAGATTGGTAATCCTAAGAAGTCCTTGAATAAGAATCGTGCTCAATTGCATTGAACTCATCGAGGATTTTGTCGAATTCCAACTAGGTTAATCCAACCTTCAAAAAAAAAAACAACTACTACTACTACTAATATTAATAATTAATAATAACAATTAATAATAATTATTATAAATAATAAT